CATTCCTCATCAAACTGGTCAAATAATCAAGGATATAGACTTGCAGTTCGTGATTTTTAGAAAACGCAGGACGTAGAGTTATTAGAGTTATTTTTTTCAGAGAACAGGGTTCCATTTTTCTCATACTGCTGTAATATTCGTTCCGGTGACTGTACGCACTTTGTATTTCGGTGGATTTCATCTTTTCATCCCTAATTTATTGTTTGCTTTAACAGAATAACAGTAACCCCTTTAGCTCTTTGTCATGTTTAAATAAAATTAGATATTTTCTGATTTGTCTTCAATTTGGCTTCGTGTAGGACCTAGTTGATCGGATATTAGCCATCCTCACTATGGACAAAGGTACATGGCATGCTCCTTTAGAGAATGTGGCTTCCAAAATATGACAAATGTTGTGTGGAATCGCAGATTTTTCATCACTCGACATGTGTGTGTGATTGTAAACACACATGTTGGTGCTTGAAGCATTAGTTTCTATTCCTTTCATAACTTTCTGAGTCTGGGAAAGTGGAAACAATTCAACGCACTCAGACTGGTGGTTTCTTTTTATCCTTTGAATTTTGTTTGAGGTTATGTAAACCTTGCATTGGTTGGGCACCTATAATGCACAAGTTTATGGGCGTAATTTGGCTGCATGCTTATTCATCCATTTCCACGTGCAAATTCTAGGCATCAGGTATATTTTCCTCGCAAAGGATCAGTGCATGTAAAGCAGATGATTTGAACAATTGTCTGTGGAAGATCATGACTTCAATATAATGTGCATACCATCCCTTATCAAATCCTCGTGTTTGTCTGAAGGCAAAGGTTGTGGGATCTTCACCTACCACCTTTCTTCATTTATATTTGTGACTTCCAGTCGCAAAGTCTGCTTCTGCTTTTTTGTGTGCACTGTTTGCTGAGGTTTTTATGTGTCACTGCATCATATCTGCAGACGCATTCATATATGATTTCACAGTTTCAGGATTTCATGCCACAAAAAATGCTGCGGGGAAAGAGGTAGTAGCAAAGCTTGTGGATGATACTTACAGGTTCGTATTTGCTTGCTGCAATAACATATGAAAACGCTTATATGTTGGTTAATTTTTTTTATATCTAACCAGTGTGGGATTTTTACCCTTAACATGCCTCGGCAAGATGGTGGCTTATTTGAAAACAAAAATCTTGGAATCCGATGGCTTCTTTGAGCTCCTAAATGGATAGAATTGCTCATTTGAGTTTGTTAGACTTTGATACTATTTCAAGACCTTGGGTTTCCATCTTAACCTTGTTAAGAGTAGTAATTCAAGACCTTATATGTTGGTTAGTGTTTTGATACCTAACCATTGTGGGATTCTTATCTTATCAGTACATATTAAGCCTAAGGGGAATGTTAATTTCTTTCAATTTTATTTTTTTCAGTTGCCTGGCTTAATATTCTCGTCATTTAGATTTCCAACATTTAGAGTCCAGTTTGAGAAGCCATGCTATTGTCCTTGCAAATGACACTTTTGATCTCAACCAGGAAACAACTGGAAGGAAAATAAAATAAAAAACAATAGGTGGGGACGATAGTGGAAAGCAAAGTTGAGGACCGGAAGTAGAGCAATATGCAATAAATTGACTGTTTTTTCAGGGGTGGAGTAATATTCTTTAATCTTCAGTAAATGATCTCATGCATTTTATCTTTCTTTCCTTCTTATATTCTCAGGAAAATGTATGTTTCTGGGGTAGCTGATTTACCATCAAACTCACTAGGTGTTTCAGACGGCAGTAATGCAAAACTTGAAGAGGAAACTGAAGATCCTATTCAAATGGCTAAGATCCGCTGCCTCTGTAGAAGCACATTAGCTACTGATCCGATGATCAAAGTACATTTATATTTTAATTCCTAATTCATTGCCATGCACCTTATTGCTCCCAGTTGTTCCTTTTCTCACTCCTACGATTGGTTTGTTCTGTATACTCTCTTTCTATTATCTGCTTGCCACTTGTAACATTTTGCTAAAGACGGGTCATAATATTTCTTTATTAGCATTTTATCTGTTGGAGTTAATATTTCCTTCTTAGCATTTCATCTGTTTGAGTTCTAACTGAGTGAATTTCTGTATAATTTCTTGAATTGCATCATGTCAGCTTCTCCATGTCAGGCAGTCTTATATTTCCATAAGTATATGAAACAAAATATTTTCTTTCGGCCTTTGTGGCAGATGGCATCACTTTTACGGTGTACACCTTGTTGCAGTGTGAAGATCCTACGTGTAATGTCTGGCAGCATATAGCATGCGTGGTGATTCCTGAGAAACGCAAGGATGGTGTTCTACCAAATCCCCCAGAGCTTTTTTACTGTGAAATTTGTAGACTGAATCGTGCAGACCCGTAAGTGACATGGTTAATGTTTTAGATCACCTTGTTTGTATTATAGGATCCAGTACATGGCATCGAACCTAACTGTTAGCACCATTTTTGCATTTTTTTTCTCATTCATCACTAGCTCATTGTTCTTCATGGGGCTTTTTCTTCACTAATATTGCGTTGTATATTTCCAGCTGATTTCAATTATCCAGATCTGATAAACTGTCCTTGCATGTTCCACTCAGAAAAGGACAGACATAGTTATAGTAGTCTTCAGTGATTTCCTGCTCTTCTGCATCAGTATTCTGTCTTTAATTTACTTTTTGATATCTTTTGGGTGCCTGTTTCTTGGTATCCTGCAGTCATGGTTATGCCTAGGTTGAGGCTGTGTCTTGTTAAACTATTTTGGTCTTTCTGCCATTCGCAAACATTGAATGCCATAGGAACCATTTCTTTTTGGAGGGAGGGAGGGAGATTAATTATGGTAATAACCGTACTTATTTATCGATTGGTTTTAGTGACTTCCAATGGTCAAGGTACACCCAATCAGTAGCCATAAGTGTCCTCTTCAGCATATTCACAATGATCAAATTTTGGTACCAACGAATCAGGCAAACTTGGATGGCGCTCTCTTTAAATTTGTCTTGCCTTACGGTTTTCTTTTCATGGTTCCCGCTTCCTTTTACCAGTAAAAGATGAAATGAGAAGCAGTTCAGGCATCAGCTTCTTGTGACATTTTTTTTACCATGCTTATAAATGGAAAAGAGTTACCATAAATGTTTTGATTTTCACTGTGGTTCAACCATCTTTTCCTTGTATCGTGATTTTCAGCCTTCAACTCACATTATTAGTTCTTGTGGTTTTCGCTTCCCTGGAACTTTCATCTCATAATCATTCTCTCTCTCTCTCTCAAACTTCAAGCTAGAGTTATTGAGTAACATCATTGCTTTGAATTACTGATCACTAAATAAGACGAAAATGTTAACTTGTGTTCTCAGCTGTTGGGGCTGTTAAACTGTGTTGTCAATAATATTTTAGTGAATCTATATGAAATAGCTCAAAATTGAGATATTGGTATCTTGTTTTGGTTCATTTAGATTGCAAACTCCACCCGCTTTGCTTAGATTTTCATTGGATAACCTTTAGAAGCCAGAAGATTATATGATTTTTTATTTTTTATTTTTTGCAAATATGTAGTTTCTGGGAGACAATTTCACATCCTTTACATCCTGTGAAGTTGACTATCACAGATGTTCCTACAGATGGGTAAGTATATGGCCTATTTTTCTTTTTATCAGTAATTCGAACTTCTTAACTTTAAGATTAACTGCTGTTATTCTGTTTTAGCTTGTGTTTATTGAACTTCAAGATTTCGTCCAGTGACGTCTCTCATTAGTCTGTTAGAGCGCTGACTTTATTTCAGATGGATACATTTTACTCTATTCGCACAAGATGTTGTTACTTTGGTAGATCATGCACCCAGTACCTCTATGGAGTTTTGGTTGGGAAGCCCTAGAAAGGAGATATGTTCCTCGTATATAGACGTTTTCTGATATACTAAAATAGAAGTTATATATTTACGCATTCCACAATATCAATATGTTGATGATCTATTTCTAGTTGAGCAGATATTAAGGACTTGTTATGGGTGCAATTATGAATTATGAGCATAGGTGATTTCTGCGTAATAGAGGTAATTCATAACCTAAATTAGTGTCCATGAACAGTGAATAAAATTGGGCGCTTTCTTTGGGTTGAATGAATTGTCTTGGTTATAGTTAGTGACTTCTCTTTAGAAATGCTAGTTAGCCCAGTCAGCACAACTAAAGAAGAGTATACAGTACCATTTGAAATTTTATTTAGTGTGATGACTATTGAATTAATTAAATTTCACTGGATCAACAAAATATTCAATCTTAATCTAAGTGGATAGTGAGCTCCAATTCACGGCTCAGACCCATTGAAGCATAAATAAGTAATATCTTGATGTCATCAATAGGTGCCTGGAGAGTTTGGCTTGTGAATGATTGAACATGTATTCACAAGACAGAATCAATAGATGGATTGAATGGAGATTACATTGTTAATACCACTGACGTTAATGCTAGTTTGTGAATGGAAGTATCAAGAAGGCTCAGGATGCTGCAATTTTATGCTAGTGTGACTTTTAAAAAAAGACAAATGGATAGGGGGAGGGCTGATTTGGCGTGCTAAATTATGCAATTTCACTTGCAAAAAGTTGTTTGTACTGCTACTATAACATCGTGATGTAATAAAATCTGCTGTTTCATTTGGGTGATGGGAAATCCCATTGAGGTATTTCAGTTTTTATTAATACATGGAATATCACTTCTTGCACTTGCAAGAGGCAACTGCACAGCCTAAATGTAAAGATATACTATTAGTCATCAACACTGGCAATAGTGTACTGTTGTGGTTAGTCTTATGATAGCAGTAGGCTGCTGCTGTTGCATGTATTTAATTTTTCCATCAACTACATGCACAACCTAATTCATCCCCTCCTTTTCACCTGGAATACTATGGGATGCATTATATAAGCCTTCAACTTTACATTTATTTGTTTGTTAGTCAAAATACTTGGGAACAAAATTTAGTTTCACCTTTGTTTCAAAATCTGGTTTTTGGGCGTGACAAATATGTACTACTCCCCTTTTTTTCTTTATTTTGTTTGTCTTGTTAGGTATCACATACTGAATCTGGTTTGAAATTGCAATTTTTCCTAGCTCAAATCCTGTTCAGACCGTTGAAACAACATTTCAACTAACAAGGACGTCCATGGCCTTGTTATTGAAAAAGGAATTTGATGTTCAGGTTGCTCTGGTTCCCTGTGATAACATGCACACGATATAGCTTTTATAATGTTGAAAATGCTTTTATTAATTACATGATGATGTCTGTGCTATTATGACTAGGCTTGGTGTATGCTTCTTAATGACAAGGTGCCATTCCGGATGCAGTGGCCACAGTATGCAGACCTACAGCTCAATGGTATTATACTCTGACATTGTTCCACTCATAACTATCGGGTCTGTATTTTTTTTGTATAAAGCTTAATTCTATTTTCTAGTATTATCAGGTTTCATCGGTGAATATTCTTTATTTTCCCGAGGCACCCGCTAAGATGACTATAAAATTTAACTGCATTATCCTGGTTTATAAATTGCTCATAAATCATGTCATATCACTTTATTTGAGTGCAAAACCAGAACAATTAACTCTTCAGTATTGTTGCAAATTTAATTTTCATGTTGTTTATGTTCGGTGAATTGCTTGAAGTTGACTTTCTGTTTAAAGTTTCAAATATCCCTTTTTTCTTTTCTTTCTTATGATTGTGGAGCTCTGCTTTAGTGTTGCTTCACCTTAAGTTTTTACTATCCGTTTTCAGGGTTGCTTATTTAACATATTGCTCGACCTTAACAGGTGTACCGATGCAGGCAATAAACAGACCTGGCTCACAATTATTAGGAGCAAATGGTCGAGATGATGGACCTGTTGTAAGTTTTTACCCTATGAATACAAGATTCTTCTGACAATCATTTTTTAAACTCGGGAATCATCCTTCATGAACTTTAGTAGCTGTATTTCTGCTGTTTATTTTCTTTACCCCATGTTTTAGTAATCATCATATCGTATATCCATAAAACTTTTCATTCGAAATTGAGCTATCTTTGTGCTCATTCATTTATCCGTTGTGTGGTTCTTTGTTTTAATTTTTGTTTTCCATTTTCTGAGGGGTGGCTGAAATATTAATTAATTTACTTTCACATCCCAGTGGACCTCCTTAGCTAATTCTGGGCATTTTATTGAGTACACATCTTCTTGTTTTTACAGATTACAGTATGCACCAGAGAAGGAATTAATAAGATATCCTTAACAGGACGTGATGCTCGTGTATTCTGTTTAGGAGTCAGGATGGTAAAACGGCGTACTCTGCACCAGGTATAAGAATCACCATAAATTCTTTATATTGAATATTTATAATGAATTTCCTTGTGAATATTGGGTTGCTGACCAGGAGTTGGGGTAATGGAAATGACAGGTAGTTGTTCTTTTGCTGATCTTGTTTGACATTATCAATTTTTTCTCGATGAAAGATTTTTTATAGTTCTTTTGCATCTGCGATAGACTTAAATTTATGGGTCTCTTGGCATTCCTAAGCATTTTTTGTTCTTTGTTTAAGAGGGACTAACGGTACTTTGGATCTCATCCCTAGGTTCTCGACATGATTCCTAAAGACACCGAAGGTGAGAGTTTTGAAGATGCAGTTGCTCGTGTTCGCCGTTGTGTTGGTGGTGGGACCACAAAAGAAAATGCTGATAGTGACAGTGATATTGAAGTGGTTGCTGACACTGTTCCTGTCAATCTTCGTTGTCCTGTAAGCAGCTTTAGATTTGCAAACTTGAACAATTAGTATTCTGATGTCAATGCGCTAGAGGTGAACTTGATAAAGAAGTTTGCATTGTGGACACATTCACTTCTCATGGCATGATCTTTTATCACCCACAATTATAGCACTATAGTTATGTGCCTTGTATGGTTGAAAGCAACCTGCATTTTACATTTATAAGTACTTCTATACCATTTGGCTCAGGGTTCCAGGCTCGAGCTCCAGCATGCAACTGAAGCATTCTTGTTTATGTTTTATGTACTAGAAACTGAAACCTTGTTTAAGATTGTGTCTTCTCTTCGTTAGTTACATCCTAACAACAAATAACCCTCAAGATTGTACATCCAGAGAATCTTGAAACAGAATGCCAAAAGTCTCTTAATTTTGAGTTGACCCCTGGAAACTGGAATTCTACTTTTTTTAATTATTTTTCTTTTGGAAGTACCCTGTTCCTAGTTTCCGCTGCTGTGTTAAATTAAAAGTTCTTTCTACCAAATAGCTACTTTTATGTGCACTGAGATTTCTTTCATACTCATTAGTTCCATAGTATTGTCAGGCTAAAAATTTTGAGACAGAATGACTCACCAAGGCTTTTATACCTTATAAGATTGGCAGCTTCACTTTTTGGACAGATGCTGGATTTTGAGATATTAATATTTTGCCTTTCGAATCATTTTTTTTTATTTAAGGTAAAATCTGTTGTCAAGGAAAATCATATGGCCAGACTTGCCGAATTTATCCCCATGCATGTATGTCGAAGAACTAGAACTGATGCCTGGGTTGGAGATAGGATTTTTGATAGTGAGAACCTTCACTTGCTCTCACTTTTTCTTTTCCTGTTTCCCTTGATTTTGATAATTGACTATTGTTTTCATTCTGGAGACATTATCTCAGTAGAAATTAAGCTTTTCAGTGAATGTCTTTTATGCATTCTTTTAGTTTTATTCACCTTACGAAAATGTAGGTGACGACAGACGATCATAGACAAGAACTAGAATTGTAGATGAAGGGGAAAAGGAAGAGAGAGTGGAGAAGAATAGAAGGGAGGGGGAGAGAGAAAGAGAAAGGGTATAGTCTTTATTCAATAATCAAGTCTAAAGGGTATAGTCTTTATTCAATAATCAAGTCTAACTTTTACAGTGAGAAACCCTTCTCACTTGTACTAAAAATCTCTAACAAACTATGGAAACTACTTAATAACAACAACAACAACAACAACAACATGGAAAATCCATCTAAATAATTGTAAAATAACTCATATTAATTTCTATAGCAAGTCTTCGATAGATAGTCTTCTAATAGTATCTCGAGGATCTCTATCAGCAGGCTACTGTATGCTTAAAGAAATAATTCTAGCCATTGAGAAAAAAACTTATTATATCCAGGAAAATGTCAATGTGTAATCTCTAGTAGCTTCTCA